TTTTTTTTGCCATATCATTGGTTTTTTTGCCATGTCATTGGTTTTTTTGCCATGCTGTCATCTTTTTTCGTTAGGTGATGGGACACGTCAGTCAATTTTTAACGGAAGGACTAAATCGGGGTCGAAATGGTAAACAGTATGGACCAAATCAGGGATTTTTTTAGTTCAGGGACCAAATCGGGGGTCCGTACAATAGTTCAGGGACCAAAAATGGATTTTAACCTAAATTTTATAAAATTTTTCTGTCAAAAAGGAAAATAAAGTTATTAATTTTATAATAATTTTAACAAAAATTATTAACCATAGGTCATGGGGCCTTGGGGGGGTGTAGGGGCATAACTGTAATTTCATCCTCTTGAGAAATTTCGCAAGGGACAGAACGAAATTGCGGCAAACGTGACTTGCGCACAACCAAAATCCAGAACAGAACCGAAGGGGTATTTTCGTCACAACAGAACCTCAGTGGCATTCCGGATATTTTCCAAAACCACCGGGGCCATCTCACAACATCCAACACTTTAAATTATCCAACCCACGCCAGACCCTCATTCGCTTATACACCGTGTTTCTCTTCCCCCTTCCTCGCTTTCCCATCTCTTCCACTCTCGGATCGCAAATCTGAATCTCACTCTCTATCTCTCCTCCTCCTCCTCCACCAGCAACCACCGGCGCGACCCGTAACTTCCGTCCGTACGACTAGATCAGAACTGCCTCTTTAGGTTCAGCCCCCGACATCTGGATCGGATTCCGTTTCTTGAATTTCTAGCTACCAATCTGTTTTTTTTTTTATATATATTTTAAAAATTTTGCTATTTAATATTTATTTCGTATTTTCTTGGACTTTTTTTAATATCCTTATTTAACTTCGATTTTTTTTTTTTAACGGAACCAGCTGTTTGGACGTTTCCGCTCGCCACTCGATAAAAGATGATTTGACACTTCTACCCAAAAAATAAAAAATCGAATTTCTCATTCGACGACTTTGCCCCTCAACTACCGTTTAATTTACCGGTCCCACCCCTCAGTCTGTCTGCTGACGTGGCATGATTTGTGGGTCCCTTTGGAAATGAGTCAGCACACCCGTCGGATTCTGACACCTGGAGCTTCAAGAAAGCGTAAAGATAGAGAAGCATTTTATTCCTTCAAGCCGTCGCCTACAACTCATCCGCCGCCGCCACTGCCGACTTTCCCGGCAACAAATTCTGCCACCGCTGCCGCAGCTCTTCCCGACTCTTCTAATCGGCTCTTGGCGGGGTACTTGGCGTACGAGTTCTTAACAAAGGGGACGCTGTTCGGTCAGAAGTACGATCCTGCCAGAGCCAGGGCGGTACAACTATCGGGCTCGTTAGCCGAGCCGAGGAAGGTGAAGCCGGAAGCCGAGCCGAGTCCGAAGAAGGAGAACCAGGGTTACGCTGAGGTGGCAAACATTTTGAAGACCGATGAGGCCCACATTCAGGGAATTGTCAATCCTGCCCAACTCGCCCATTGGATTAAGATGTGACTGCGGTGTCACGTGGCACCATCTTATTGGGTGAAAACTGGCTTCTCGCGTAAGAGAAGTTGACATTTTCTTTACCCGCAATGACCTCCAGAATTAAAGTTGGTGAGTACAGTCTCGAGTCTCATATCATGGATGCAGTCACCATAGAGAGGAAGCCTGAAACAAATTTCTAATGTTGATTTTGTTGTTTCAGGATAGTGTTAATTAGTTTATGTTTTTGATCTTTTTATCTTCTTCGTCACTTTCTTTTGATAATTAGTACTATGTATGAATGTTGTTATTTTGAATTTGGGATATATATGTATGAATGTATATATGAACCCAAAACATATGGGGTAAAACTGCTTGCTTTCATTTGTGGGGGTTTGATTAGTTACATGATTCTGGGTTGCATGACTAGGATAGTACTTCTCGTTCGTAATATCTCTCTATTTGTCGTCTCTCAAAATTCAAACTCGAGATTTGATGGTCTTGGTCGTTTGAAAGTCTCTTAATGCTTTTGGGTTGCTGTTGGAAAATGCAGTTATCGAGAGTGTTAATAATTGTTAGCTGACTTTTAGTAGTTGACAAAAATTTTTATCCAAACACTTATATTAAATAGATTAGGGCTCAGCTGCCTTAAGAACTCCAAAACAAAGCGGCCTCTCAAACTTTTACATTTGTATATACTACATCCCTGTGGAATGTGGAGATTTTTATTTTGATTATGAAGGTGGGATTTATTGGATTATTATTTAGTATTACATAGGCACAACTATGCATGAAGCATGCACGTGCTGAGTACTGTTGCATAGTACGTAGTATTTAACAATATTTGAAAAAGTGTGATTAATTGATGAATAATTAAGTCGGTGACATTGTTTTGTGGTTTGATCTAAAATGTCCAGTGTGGTAAATGCCAATGCTAGAAACAAAACAAAACCCTAGCTAGAATATTATTGATTTATTTGTATATGTATGATTTATATTTGGAATATAGGACAGTATGATTCCAAGATTATAATGTATTTTGTTTGCCTTAATTCTATGCGAAGTGATTCTCCTTGCAGCTCATGTCATAGTAGGTCGATATATATGTTCTCAGCTTCTGATTAAATTTTATGAAATAAGATAGAAATACATTTCAATTAATCAAGAGTTTTTAAATGATTCACCTACAAAATTATCTCACAAAATATAGAGTTTTGCGATTCTTGCATTGGACTGAATATGATATGGCTCCTTTTTATAGAATATATGAAATCTGTATGCATCTCTTATTTTGATGTGAAGTTCATATTGTGAATATATTAAACTTGACAAGTTAAATCTCGTATTACTTACACCGTGGATCTATACTTGTGTTAATTAATTAACATGCCTTCAGAATTTTTATCAATGAGTTCAAGTGGAAAAAGTTTGGTTTTCTTTAAACAAGTTTGAATTTAAATATTGTAAATGAAAAAACAAGTGTTGAAAATTTTTTTCTCTTATAGGGTCTGATGGGTCCAACACGGCTTATTTGACTTTAAATTAGTTAAGATTTAATGTGGTTTCTAGATATCAAAAGGTTAATAAGGAAAAAATATATCTTGTGAATTCTTAATTCCCTCAGTATTGAAAATGAGAGCTAAGGTTGAGAGTGTTTCCCACTAGAAATTAACTAAGGAGATTATTTTTCTATGGAAAATTAATTTTCCCTTTGCTCGATCGGCAAATCAAAACTTCTTAGGAACATAAAGTGTATTGTTTAGTGACTATACACGAACTGCATAACTGCATAAGACAAGTCTTTGAATCTCAAATTTTAAAGACACTAAAGATTTATGTTTTACCATGCCCGCAAAGAAAATGAAAAATCTTTCACCCAATGTTGTAGAAAGCGTTTGGTGATGATAACTAGTTTATCCGCAGCCTAGAACCTAAAGTGTCTAAGCAGTGCTTAAGCTACCCGAGTGAT